CTTGCTCCTAGTAGTACGGCCAGGAGCCCCTAGTAGCGTCCTTGCTCGTAGTAGTACGGCCAGGAGGCCCTAGTAGCGTGTACGGCCAGGAGCCCCTAGTAGCGTCCTTGCTCCTAGTAGTACGGCCAGGAGCCCCTAGTAACGTCCTTGCTGCTAGTAGTAAGGCCAGGAGCCCCTAGTAGCATACGCCACAATGCAGAAATTAATTGCATCCAAGTTTATGGACTTACTCAATGTGTACTTTGTTTGTTTCGATACTCTACCTAATTCGTGCAATGCAAGTCATCCTCACAAGCTCTGCAAGTCAGTGAGCAACCACGAGGCAATCTGGTGTGGAAGCACTAATATGTGGATACGTTCCCAAAACTGGTTCAAGCTTTGACTGTTCAATGGGAAGATGACTCACACACTGGCATGACCTACTTCGCACAATGGCACACGGTCTTTCATTCTGAAAACATGCTTTGCTCGAGCCTTGCTATCTTCCGGGTATGAAGTATGCGAATCGATTGAACGAAGCGCTGCATGACAACTCGGTTTCTTGGCAGAACGTCTGAACCTAGGCCTTTCCCCAATAGGAACAGGGTTTTGAATGCTCTAGGCATTTGACGTGGCAACGCATTACAATACCCTTAGGACTCTTGAGTAAGACTTCAAGCTCGATCAAATGACGCTGCTGGATTCTATTCTCATCTATTCTCTTGGGATTTGCAATCAGGTTCAGAACAGGCGACCCTCCAGTGCAAGGAGGGGAGAGATGCCCACTCTGCAAACAAAGAATGGCTGACACACATTCAACATAGGTGACAAACGACCGCCATCTTCGATCTCTGGTTCAGACCATTCGCTACTCGTACCAACTTCAGATTCAGGTTGTGTGGATGAGGATGAAACTCAGTGGCACGCTTACCTTTCGGCTTTCCTTTGTTATCGCCTTTCTTACCTTTCTCTGTTGTACCTTTACCTTTCTTGTTTTCCTTGCCTCCTTCACCCCTTGACTTCCCATTGGCACGCGATGGACAATCAACTAACAGGTGACCACGTTGTCCACATGTAAGGCAAGTTCGAGTCATCACCAGTCCCCTTGCCCTTCGAACGGCCATCAGCTCCTTTTCCAAATCCTTTCCTTTGCTCTTTCCTTTCGCATCCGTGCCTTTGGCGTCCTTGCCTTTTCCTTTCTGATTGATTGCAGCGTTGCTATGGGCTTACCGTTCATGTTTGACCAAATCCTCTGCTGGGCTTCATAGCGTAGTGCAGCCTCGACATACGAATCAAACGGCTCATTGAGTGAACTGAGGACTACCCACTGACGACACTGCTGTGGAAGGGCCCATGAACAATAGCAACACACGATCGGCTTCGATTGACTCTAGTCCCTTGACGTTCACACTCGGATCGACAAGCTGCGCGACACGTTCCTTTTGGAAGAGCTCGGTTCCACCGTTCGAACGATCTCGGGGATGGTCGGGGCCGTGATACTGCTATTTTCCAGCTGGTTGCAGAAAAACAAAAGCTCAGTCCCAGCCTTCACAGCAAACTCCCAAGCGATCAGTCGACAATCGAATCCACAGCGCCGGAACCCCTTCGACTCTTTGCAGTTTCGAATCACCAAACTAGCACAAGTATATAACAGTATTGGAGTTTGCAAAACACGACTTTGATCCAAACCTCCACATGGATGCGTTCTTTCTGGGCTGATCAGGAACCCCAGCCACTTGGGCAGGCATCTGATGGAAGTTCCTCCATGGACCTTGAACCTGCCATGGATCGACTGGCTGGACACCTGATGCCCTTATGCAATTCGGTCTCTCTCATTCGGATTGTTCGCCTGACTAGGCTGTTCTCGATTTGTGCCACCTGTTGGATGGTACACTTCTCATGTGCGTGTCATCCTCAAAAAACTGGCCAAAAACGTCGCGATAACGAGGCAGCGCAACAAAGGCATCAAAAGGTCAGACTATGCTGACAATGCATGTGTGGTATTGTGTGGTTGCGAACTGCAGTTTGTTCTACTGTTTAGCATAGGCTGACTAACATCATCCACCATCACCACCACCACCACCACCACCGCCTTTATTGGTACTACGACGACGACAAAAACAACAATATGAACAACAACAACAACAACAACAAGAAGAACAAGAACAAGAACAAGAACAACTCTTCTTCTTCTTCTCGAACGCTGAGAGTGATGTCTCGCGCCATCAACCATTGGACTCTCTGCCAATGGGATCGAGGATCTATATCATGAGTCCTCAGGATACCTATGGTGCAAAAATCCTGAGAACGGAAAGTGAAAGAAAGGGGGTCTCTCTCAGAAGCTTCGGCAGCTGCTTAGCGCGGCTGGTCGGCAGCTGGTGCGGCGCAGCTGCATCAGCCGCAGGGAGGCTGCCAGCAGCATCAGCTCAGGTGGCGCGCAGTGGTGTCATCAAGGACACTCGCCAAGACACTTTGGAGAACCCGGCTCAAAGCTGGTGCACCGTCCGGTGACAGTGGTGGTTCCTGAGTTTCCTCAGTGGTCACAGACGAGGTCGGTTGACTGGCGGTGACCTGCAGCATGGGTGCACTTGGCTCCGGTTCAAATCCGGAAGGTGAGTCCTGGGACATGCTATTCGAATGGGCCTCAGTGATCGGGATCAGCCAGGCCAGCACAGCCCTCTCGAGGCACCATTTGGGAGGGTGCAAAAAGAAGGATGGGGGTTCATGGTCCTGGCAGACATACCAGCCGTCATCGCTTCGCAGGATGGCCTGAAAATGGCCTGAGATGCTCGAACCTGTGTGACACACAATGCTTTGGATCCGGAACGCGGACCACTGAAGGTCCACGCCTTGGTCATAGAAGAATGGCAGCTCGACATGCCGGTTGGGCGCTTAACAGATTTCAGCCAAACGCGCAACCCCCTATGAGCTTGTCTATGGCAAGAGCTACAAGGGACTTCTAGCAGAGAATGGTGAACCAGTTCATGGTTACATCAAGAGCCTCAACAAAGGAGAAGCGAGATTGCGTTTATGCTTGTTCTTGGGAAAAGTTGAAAGGCAAGGCGCGTATGCACTTACAGATGGAGCGCAGGTAGTGCTCAGCAACGCGTTAGAAGAACAGATCAAGATTTGTCCAAATACTTACCCATATACAAAAGCTTCAATGCATTATGCATTTTCATGGGGGTATCAAGCCAACTTTGGAGGCGGAATCATTGCCACTAAGAGAACAGCAGAAGCATTAGCAGCACAAACAGACATTCCTCGAGAACGTGCGATGTTGAAGTTTAAGGGTGAAGATGCTGAAGCAGTCGTGGCAAAGGCGCTGGAAGGAGGAATAGGCAAAGAGGACGCACTGGTGCAATGAGAAGAGATGGAGTTGAAAGAAAGCCAAGTGGAGAAGAGACACCAACTAAGAAGCAGAAAGTTCTCTTTGCAGATGAGAAAACACTTGAAGAAGTGAAGGCATTTCCCTCTACATCATGGCCAGCGGGACAGCCAAATCCAATTACTCCTAGCCTATCTTCATTGAGATCACCACCAGCGCCATCGAGACCAAGAGAAGCATTTGATTTGCCTGAGGAGGAAAGTCCAATGAAGAAGCTCAGGACAGCAGATGAGGCAAGCAAGAAAGCCAAGGTCAACATGGTGAAAGTTGGAGGAGAAGATCTTTACCATGTAGGTGAAGAGTTATCCCCAGTTGCAGCCTGAATGCTTGTGGCGTGACGGAGAACAAGAACCTGAAGAAGATCCAGAAGAGTGGGTTGATAGAGTAGCTGACGAGGTGGAAGAGAAAAGATCCCAAAAGATGTAGGCACTAGAGAAACCAGAAGGTAGCGCGGAATTGCACGAGAGGAAGGTAGCGCAAATTTGCACAAAAGGAATTTTGGTGATGGCAATTCAGTCAAGAGGTGGAAGAGAAGGTCAAGACTAGTTGCAAGAGAATTTGCTTTCGCTGAGGGGAAGAGAGATGACATTTTGCGCGCACTGAAGCTTCTACCCACAAAATTCTTGCAAAGGATCAGTGAAGAGGAAGAAGCAAGAGAGGGAGAAGGAGCATTTTCTCGTATACTAGGATGCCTTGATGTGAAAGGCGCATGTCTTCGAGTTCCACAAAAGAAGCCATTGAAGGTAATCCTGAGAGTTGAAGAATTCTTGGCGAAGAGAAATCTACCTGGGCAAAGAGTTGGAGCAAAAGCATGGAAGGTTTTTTGCTATAAAGTAGGTGTTGACTTTTTGACAGTAGGTGTTGGAGGCAGGGCATCGTTGCAGTACCAGACTCAATCGGTGGTTAAATTCTCAAAGTATAAAGTTTAACTGGCTCAAGGAAAATCGGGACTGTATACTGTAATATGTTTCTTTTAGCAAGATATCCACTGCAATGACGTGCTTTAATTTTATCCTGCGCGAGAAGAGTTGGGCTTCCTTCCTTCCTTCCTTCCTTCCTCCCTCATTCTCATCGCGTGTAATTCTCATCGCGCGCGCGAGAAGAGTCGAGCTAATTATAATTCATGAAAGAACCGCGCCCATTGTATGGTTACAGAGACAGTGGGGTGGATACGCATGCCACTGACATAGAATCAGAGCGAATGTGAAAACCCACATTACTGAAACAACTACACCTTCGTCGAAACGATGTAGTATGTGGAAGCACTCCATTCAAGTTTTGCACGATGGCGCTTGACATAGAGCCAAGTGGAAAAAAACGTGGGTATCAGAAACCATTGACAGCAAGCTCTTAGCAAATTTTAAAATGGCAATACCCGTAAAGTGCATTATTGCGCTGAGCGCTCTAAGTAAAGCGCTGAGCGTTTTGACGCTCATGATAGCCTAGCATATTAGCAAGCTTCTTTGTTACTAGAAAGAAAACAATCTAGTAAGTTTTAAGTTAGTAGTAAGCTTCGGCTGTTGGTTTCTGAATGTTTCTGTCCTTGTCCTATGATTGTCAGTGTTCAAGCTGGTCCTCCTACTGTTGTGCGTCTTCACGCGTGCTTGCTTGTGGCCATGCAGCCGGCGGTGCCCGACCTAGCAGCTCTTATTGCTAGTGGTGAGTGGTCAGATGACCAGCGAGAATGGTTTGAACGTGTTCGCGAAGCATGTCGGAACATTGTGACGCATGTTGGTTGGAACGATGAGACAGGTGCATTTGTGAGCCTTTGGATCCTCTTGACCAAAGTCAATATCATGATGGCGACTGAACACTTGTCTGGCGAGGACATAGGTCCAGAGGGCATGGGGCGCATGCCGCGCCCAGCTCTTGGATTGCAGGCTTTGTCCACTATGCCTGTGAGCCGGCAGGACTATCTGAAGGAAGATGTGGAGGCCGGGAAGGCTTTGTGTGATATGTTGATTGCTCATGTGAATGCTGTGTGGCTTTCGCACCAAGCACCTTTGGCGACGCGATTCCTCGGTGAGTGTGTGGATGGCTTCGCTTTGGCAAAGCTTCAGTTGCGGTAGCTTTAAGTCAGGCAACTTGAGGATTCGTATGGTTGCTGGTTGGATATATCTTGAGGATGGAAAACGAGCTGCTTTGAATGATCGCACCAGCACTTGTAAACCGTTTGCCATTCAGTATGTTGCTCTGTGGTTCACTTTTTCAATGCAGTTTTGCGAGAGTTAGTGATGTTTTCAGTTTCCCTGAAGCTGTCATTTCAAGAATGGCAATCGGCCAAACAGTTGTAGTAGTGTCAGATTGGTGTGAAATATGTCCAAACAGATTTCACACACCACATATGATTGTCTTAAGCTAAACAATGAAACTCATGTATGCAAAAGCGACCTGTGTGGGCGCAGCGACCTTCGGGGCGCTAAACTTCTTATTGATTTCACCCGCCTGCTTTGTGGTCAGCGCATGGCCGATGAGTCAGATGTCGATCTGCCTCCTGACGTGGTGTCAGATTCTGAGGTGGAGCTGCCGCCAGATGTGATGTCAGATGTGGACTTGCCTCCTGATGTTGAAGATGATGGCAGGGACATGTCAGAGCAGCCCGTGCCAGCGAATCAGTGGTGCACATGCAAATTGCGCTGCTTCACCAAATTCAGTGCTGAGCATGTTGAGTTTCATCGTGGGCAGCAATTGGCAGATCAGAATCGCATGGCCAACGCGTACCACAAGATCAAGGTCATGGTGGAGCAACGCTCTAGCTCAGATACGACGTGCAAAATACAGTGGTCCATTGATGGCACGAGAGTTTGTCGCCCATGGTGGGAGCATTACCATGCTATAGGCCACGGTCAAGTGGACGACATGGTGAAGCTCAGTAAAGCTGGTCACCCACACTTACCCGAGCGGGGTGCGCGCATGCCCCGTGAGAAACAGAAGTCTGACATTGTCGACGCGTGGTTCTTGAACTTGTACCAAGGTTCATCGGAACCGATTCCAGTGGAAGGGTCTGCTGACCGGTTGGAGGAGCTCAGTGCTGACAGCTTGCAGCATGAGGTTGTGAACGATATCCATCACCCACTCTACGGTTTGAGTGTGGCTGTGGGGCAGGGCGTCAACAAGCAGCACCTGGCGCCAAAGAGGTTTCTGAACGAGGAGAATTTGTCTTCTCTTTGGGGGCTTTACCAGAGTGATGCCACTGTCCAAGAGAAAGTTTCCCGAGACACATTCACCAAGGCTTTCAGCAAGCGATGGAAAGGGCTTTTGAACTTCAAGCAGCACGGTCAAGGCACACGTTGCCAATTGTGCGCTGATATGGATGAAGAAAGAAAGCAATGCACTACAAAAACAGAAAGACAAGAGCTGGACCTTCGTAAGCAACATCATTTTCAAAGGCATGATGCCGACAGAAGCATGAACGTTCGATCCAACCAATTGAGCTCTGATCCTTCGACCTATTTGCTTCAGCACTCATCATCCAAGTTACATGAAGCTGATGGTGGACGGAATGGACCAAGCTAAGTTCCGAACACCAAGAAATTTGGCCGCAAGTTCCGCCTTTTCTCAAGCCGTCAGGCCGGCTCTGCACTTGACTGGCGTCATCGCCTTTGGGCTGGCTGAGTTCTATGTCATTTTGAACCCAGACACCAAGAAAGACGCCAATATGAATATCACATGTATTGGGAAGGCGCTGGATCTTTGCAGAGCATTGGTGGAAAGCTGGGGCGCTGACTACTCTCTTCCGCGGCATTGTCTGATTGCCGCGGACAACACGCCACGAGAGACGAAGAACCAAATATTTGCTACGTTTGCAAGCACACTGGTGGCCCGTCATCACTTCGAGTCCGTGGAGGTCCAATATATGATGACCGGACATACCAAGAACGAGCTCGACCAGCGCTTCAGCACGATAGCCACAGTGCTGTCGAAGGCCAGTGTGTTGGAGACTCCATCGGACTTTGCAGCGTGGATCAGGAACAATGTGCGTCCCTTGCATGGCAAAGAGCTTCATGTTATAGTGCTGGAAGAGACCTGGGACTTTCAACAAATGCACCAGGCATTCGGTTTGCAGATCAGTGGGCTCACCTCGACACATCTACAGCCAGACTCAAACCATGTCTGGCGGTTTGAACTTCGGCGCAACTTAGAGAGCAGCTTGCCTGTGGAAATGCACAACAAAGACTGGAAGGATCTGCCTGAGAACGATTTGGGGATGTGATTCTGAGTTTGAAGCAGTGCCTCTTTTAGAATATTTGGGAATCGTTTTCGAATCAAATGGCTTGGGTTTCATGTTTGCTGTTGCTTTCAATGTTCCATTGAGTCGTCCCTTCTTTTTGTTTCCCTACCTGGTGCTGCGTATCACATATTAGCTGGCCGGCCGAGCTTAGGTTCATGTCTTCTTCGAATTTATCGCAGGCGCCGCAGCTGATGATGCCGCATTGCCTGGTGAGAAACATCGACATGAAGGAGAAGCTGTTTCCAGCAGCACGCAGAGACTTTTCAGAGGAACAGCTCGATCAAATTCGGAAGACCGCTCGAGTGGTCAACACCGAGCCCTGGCGTTTGTTTGAAGCGCAACACTGGTTGGAAGCTCCGTGTGACGACAATGTGGCAAAGGTTGTGAAGAAACCACCTGCCTTGGAGATGGTTCTGGAAATGGGTACTTGTGCAGACCCAGGTACTCTTCCGGATTTCTCTGATCTATTGATCCCTGAGGACCCAGTTCCTCGTGTGGTGCGGGTTGCTGCTAAAGCTGGGGCAAAGAAACGCCCTGCTTCAAATGCAGGTGGGCCTGTTTTGAAGCGACCTTCGGCAAGTGAAGCGCCTTCGAGTTCAAGGCCACATGCCATGGAAGGAGTTGTTGCTGCGCCTCCAGGCCCTGTGGAAGGGCCGCCTCCTCTTCGTCCTTCGCCAGCTGCTGCGGAGCCTGAAGATCCCCCTCCACCCGCATCTTGCCTTGCGTGTCAACAAGACAGAATTTATTGTATTGACTGCCTGTTCAAAAACAGAAACTGCATGTACCACCCCACATGTATTTTCAACTAGCGCAAATTGACAGTTCTTGACTCGACCAGTGCGCTGCAGGCACCAGCAAGTGAAGTCACCTATGGTTGCAGCAAGTGTCGCCGCTCCAAACAAGGATGCAGGCAGTGTCGGCGGCATGCCGAGATTGGACATCGAGGGATGTACTTTGATGCCGAAGGCAACGTAGTGCGTCCAGCTTCCAGGCCATGAAAATGCCATGAAATGCAAAAGGCCAAGCCTTTACGCTTTGTGGCGCGTCAACCTTTCTTGGACATGACGCAAGTCATTCTCCGTGTGGCGGCAGATAGGTTCTCCGTGTGACTGGAAACTACTGTGAGGTGAAAATCCTGGAGAGTTGTGGGAGACCTGTTGATTGCGTGATGTGCATCAAAGTTTTTTTGAGCACATGGTTCATGAGGTGATTTCAGCTCCAGCCGCAGCCACCACTTAGCGCTTTCCTCTTTTTGACTCGCCTTTTTGTTGGACTCTTTTGGTCTTGAGTGCCATGCCGGGGTTGAAGAGGCCAGCCGCTGCCGCCGAGCTCTCGTCGACCATGAGGAAACCAGCGAGCAGTTTGCGGCGTCAGATGGATGCAAATGATCAGAAGGTTGCTGACATGGTCAAGAAGGGCGATTTTCCTTTGCCACTTGATCCTGCCAAGCTCGAGGAGCGTGAGGAGGATGACCAGGGGCAGACCTATGACCAGATGTTGCAGTTGCTGGACTTGGATTTCGAAGACCTACACAGAGTCCTTCAGGGTGAAAAACAAGGCGGGGAGGCATCTCGGCCAAGTTCTCCCAACAATTTCTCGTACTTGCATCGTGAATTTGGAGACTGTTTATTTGTTTCCGCGCATCGTTTCGAAACAAATTGTGTCGGAAGCCTTTAAGGCTCGCACGGAACAACCTAGGGCCCGGACAACTGCTGCTTTTTTTGGTTTTACAGCCGCCCAGGTATCAGAAGTGCAAGTCAGTGCAAGATTGGGTCTCGCAAAGGCTGGCTGGCAGGAGCTTTGGAGCAACACGGCTGGCGCAAGACCGATAAGGGCTGGCGCTGGTGCTGGGCTTGGCAATCCACCGAATACCGCCGAGATCCCTCATTGGCTGGTGGCAGTCACACCAGCTTGTAGAGGCACAATGCGATCAGCCTGTAGACTTACTTGTAGAGGCTTGGCAATGCCCCAGATTTTTTTGATGTTTGAAATGGCAGGCTGGCGCCCGGGATAAAATAAGCGCCAAGAACAGCGGCTTGGGCCTTACGAAAGTTTGGACGAGAACCGTCTGGAGAAAGGCATTTGTTTGAATTTTTTTGCGTTTGGCAATCACTTTAATTTAGCAGGGGCAAACATCTGATGTTGCACATGTTTCTCTTGAACACACAGGGACAGCAGGCAAGGCTAAGGGTTTGTGTTCAGGAGGCAAGCAGGTTCAAGGAGAACAAACAAAACCTAAGGGCCTAACTATTGAAAACAAGTCACAGGCTCAAGGCGGCAACCCTAAACCCTAAACGTTGTGGCAAAAATTTTGCGAGAGTTTTGTTCCCCAATAACATTGCGTTTGTTTGTCCGGATCTTTTTGGCTGATGACATCGATGAAGTCAAAAGATCTGGCAGATTTCCTGGAATTTGCCGGATCTTTGTGGTGAATCTCAAAAGATC